AGTTATATATATATATATATATCGGTCAGAACGATAGCACAAAAGATGTACACTGATGATGACAATAATAATGATAAAGAACAAGAATAATCAAACAGAGAACAAGGATTGATGAGAGTGATAAGTGAAACACAAATAGGTAACACTAGAATGAATTATAAACCTAGTGGTACTTATGATGTTTGTACAAGGATAAAATATCGTTTGTCTGATGATAAATGAACGAACTGAGCTTATAAGATCAAAGGCAAAAGTTTGAAAAAACTCTCAGAAATGTTTATGTAGTGTTGATAGGACTACGTAGATAACGCAATTAAGAAAACAGCTTTTACAAGTCTATTAAGCTCATCTATGTACATAGTTCTACAAAAAATGAAGCGACGAGAAAGCTGAAGAGTCTGAGTTTTTGAACGTCTGAGGAAGTCATGAACAATAAAAATGGAGACAGGGTAAGTGTATGCTACGTTTGAAGAGATTACGATATCACCTAGAAACAGCGAAACAGGACGAAGTCAGCAACACAATAACAGAACAAGCTAAACTATTCCACTGAGTCCCAGCTCTACTAACTAGAAAGAAGACCAGAATCGGCCCGGAAAAAAAAACAGTTTACGCGTAGCCAGAAGCATAAATTAACGAGCGCACAACTCATGCATATCCATACAGTGCAAAAATGTCATTGAAAAACGTCACAAAATAGCGTACTAAAAGAGGAAACGAACCAATGGTATTCAGGGTCCTTCCAAGTGGGTGGCTTTTGGAGCGAAAATGAGATACTTCTGGGGACTTAGCAATCCCAACAGTGTATTGCTACAAATAAGAAGCATTTCGAATGGGACAGGAATGGGGTACGCTAATTTTCAGGAGGTAAATTTACTAGGAACTTAGTTAATGTATTTATTGGGCAATTTATGAATTACCAACATCTCAATTGATAATAATTAGTTAAAAAAATTATGATGACAGGATCAATCCAATTTTATTACTCAGAACATACTATCGATTCTGGATCAAAATTACATAAGATCAGACAAATTTTGGAACAGTACAAACTATAAAAATTTGGAATTAAACTTGTGAACAACAAGTGACTTTAATTTTGTTGACACATAACTATACACTGAGTCTATTCATAAGTTTTAAGCTGCTACTCTTCAATTTGCAAACAAAGTAAATACTTACTAGTAACTCAATCGCTGATAGTCTAGTATGCAAACTATTGGACCGTAAAACTAACAGACATGCTATGGTAGGATAAGCATTTGAAGCTTTTTTGCAGTTTACATTAGCTAAACAATCATTGAATACCAGAAAGAATCAAACAGCTACTTTGTCACAGTATAGGACTTCCTGGCAGTATGCATTCCGGACCCTACCAGAAATATCGAGCCCAGAAACTTCAGGCATCAAATCAAGAGCCCGAACTTTAGACCATTGAGGTGACATCCAGTGGTTCACGCTTCTAACCCTAATCAATCCACAGTACTGCGCGACCATCTTTCGATGCAACTGGTAAATGACTGTTTTACACCTGATACGGCTGAACTTCATTAGTCATGGCTTCTAATTTAAACTTTGAGGATCATCTCGCTTCAATTGTTATCTAACTAAGATTAGTTGGTGATGTAAACGGTGAACACAAGTTGGTCAATTTCCAAAAACCGTGCATACTAATTCGAAAATCTATTCATCTGAGTTTTAACTACAGCAATTATAGTTATAACAATAACTATAATAAACTAGATCCTCTCAACACTGTGTTTTTGAACAAAATAAAAACAACATACTTGGTGTTTACTTTTATCTTTACATTGATTTTCTCCAGTTATTAAACCGAAATACGTGCCAGTCGACATTATACCATTATATAAAGAATCGACCAACTGGGATACATCTTGTTTAATATTCGTGAAGCTAGGCAACGCCGGTGGTAAGGCCGTTAAGTCTACAAAAGAAAAGATGAAAATAATTAACACATAGAACAGTGGAAAAATATGTAGTAATGATATTCGATCATTTTTGTTTCATTATATTTCCTTGAAAAATCTTGGATCAGATTGCCGAGCGAAACGTTGAATTTACTTCAAATTCATTCGTTGAGATTTCACAAATACATTTTTTCTACTTAATGTCTTACATCAACTCGGTGCCCAAATACTGTGAGAATATTCCTTCAAATTTAGACGAAAATTCTCACATGACACCATACTTATTGATAGATCGATGAGTGAAAAAAATAGCTTAGAAATCGAGACAAATATTTAAGACTTATTTATCTGCGAAGATGAAATTAGTGTCACTTACTCATAAACGATTGCTTTAACTACTTTCTACTCAACTTTAATGTCGTAGAGATGGTTACTATTGATTAGCAAAGTATAACTATGAACAGATAGATATCTCATTGCAGAGCCTTTCGCGAACGTTGAGAACAACAGTAAAACATGAAGAGAAAATCCAAAAGAATGAGAAGACATTAGAATATGCAGGAAAGCGGGTCAATATTTAAGAAAAGAATAATTAACAGTAGTTATAGAATGTTTAAGACCGGTTTCGACCCATTTAATCATTCAGGGGTATATCACTAAATCCAATTGTCTTTACAAACACAACTTGAGCGTTAGTACAAACTAGAGATTACTGAATTCATGGACTGGAACTGTTCTGATCTCTTGCTTTCAGATATGACCGAAATTCAATTAGCATTAAGCATAAAGAAAGATAGGACATTTGTGTTTAGTTATGACCCTGTTTTCCTAAAGAAAGATTTTCTTAACTTGCTACTCTGGAATTTTTAGACCGCGTATGACAAGCTAAATTTAACTCCCCAAAATCTTACATATACGATTTTTCACTGTATTATAATCCAGAGATAAGACAAATAAATTCTTTACAGTTTACTCATTAATATGATAATTTAGTCTTGAAAGTATTTGATGGTTTTAAATAAAAATTTCTATTTGTTTACTCGGGTATACTTTTTCAACTTATCAATATAACCTAACTGATTTGTATTGAACGGTAGTAATCCAGTTGAAATTGTAAGTAAAAGAAATAAGTTATTACCACTAATATATCTCAGCAGTAATTAACAACTTTATCATATGTTATTATTTAAAAAGAAATGATCGTGATCTTCACTATTTTATTTATTGTATATTGATCAGATAGTCAGTTTTACAGTCTTGTGGACAGTGTAATTCATCTTCCTCGACCGTGAGTTGTTTTTACATCCAGGATGAAGTACAGTGGATATTGATACAGTAACTGGAAACTTATTAATAAGTTCTTGTCAACCGTATATACACAAGTATAGAATCAGCTAATTCTATAATTTTTTTTGATTGAGATCATGAACCGATTGATGTTAGACCACCTATGGAAACCTGGAAGCACTGGACGGTCGTTTCGTCCTAGTATGGGACTCCTCAGCAGTGCTTCCAGGTTTCCAAAGGTGGTCTAACATCAATCGGTTCATGATCTCAATCAAAAACTTAATAATCTCCACAACCCCTATACTTGTAATTCTATAATTATTGTTTTACTGAGAAAAATGACAAGTATATTTTAGTTCCCCTGAATATAACTTAACTAAAAATATAATCTAGCAAAAAGTACGATATCATTATTTGTTAGGTCAATGTTCATCATTAATTTCAATACTTATTAACGACTGAATATTGTAGAAATTTCACCGCTCCAAACATGAGTTTTGAAGAGACAATTTCGCTCGATTTCAGACTGTTTTGGTCTTGTTTTGTGTTTTGTTTTGAACGCTGTTTACAAAATAGCTTGCATAGGCGGGTGTGATCAAAGCTTTCAACTTTTAGCTAATGAGTAATGGGTTCTAACCCTGCTCCACCTACTTTAATTTGAAGAACCAAGTAACAATGCCAGAATTTTTTCTTTAAAGTATGACTCAAAGACAAGTGCACTAAACTAATAAGTGACTTGAGAAAAACAAGATCACTCCAGTTTGCAACCGAATATCGACCGACCATATAAAACTTAATATTTTACACTCTTGTTACTAAAAATGCTATTATTCTCTAGTCAGGAATTTGATGAAAAATATCAATCTACTGAGAATAGTTCGTTGTAACAAAACTATTTATATCAATTTAATAATTATTACGATGACAATCAAAAAAAGTACAAGTATTTACACACAATTGTCTACGCAAGATACTTAATGTCCGTCGGTCAGATAGAATTAGCAACAGCCTATTGCGGAAGTAGAAAAAACAGCTCACAACTGAAGAGAAGATTAGGAAAAGGCGCTAAAAGTTGATAAGACATACATTGAAGGGAATCATCAAAATGCATCACTAGGCAAGCCCCAACTTGGAATCCTGAAGGGAAACGGAAAAGAGGAAAACCGAAGAACATACTGAGTCGAAGATTAGAAGCAGACACCCAAAAGATGAATAGCAACTGGAAAGAACTAAAAAGGATTGTCCAGGACAAAGTTGGATGGAGAATGCTAGTGGGCGGCCTATGCTTCTCCACGAGGGGTAACAGGTGTATATAAGTACGATGACGTTCAAACTGCTGATTGCAAATTGAAACATATCAGCCAGTAAATAACCCCTAAAACTTTGTACTTCAGTATAAATATCTTACCTTGAACATTCTATAACTCTACACGGAGTTTAGAATCAGCGTACACAGAAATAACTATCGTTTGGTACGTTAGGATCAGTTATATTCTTTACAACATATTAAAAATACTACAATTAATTATTACAAGAATCAACCATACAAAGATCAATTTCAAAATGATCATATAAAGCTCTATTTTTACCATCATCAACGATATTTCCCTTCTTTGTAAACTGTTGATCAGTTTCCGATTCATTATCCGGCAAAAGAAATTCATTAGGATTTAGGTTCTTTACTGTATTTGCAGCAGCTGTGATACGATCACGAACTGAAAAAGCAGTACGATATACAACATCTTTTGGTTCAGAGACAGAATGAACAACTTCATTAAAATCCTTTTTAATCTGTTCCCAAACCTTAAATAAAAACAATATAAGGAAAGATAAGGCGACCGGTGACTTCATCGTAATTATTATTGCAGAGTTGGTCGAACAAATTCATACAGAACAATTATCTTATTTATTCAATTAATTTACCAGGTACAGATTTGTTGGAGATATGAAATCCTCGAACACAAATGAAATAATGGCAATTGTGGTATAAATTCATTATTCACATCATCCTCCGTGCATATACCAACGTCTTAGTGTTGAAGAACATGTTGAAATGTTGGATAAACAAAGCTGAATTTTATAAGTAATAAGTAACGTGAATTTTCCCTGCTTTTAGTTTCTTAACAACCAAAGGTAAATTCTAACATTTATGAAGGGCAACTACCCATGTCTTCTTTGTAACAAATTCTAAAATTTGAACATTGTGGCAGTGTATAAAAGCATAAAACTGCATCTGATACGTGTCAACCTGATAGGACTGAAAACAATGAATTGAGCGCAGAAATATTAATTCACCAATAAAATCATATCGAGTGAAATATCTATAGTAAAATAAAGAGAATCAGTAGAATAAAGCTTGTGATATAAGAATGTTTGTTTTACACTGTCAAGCACGGTATAAACCTGACAGTATAATGGGATTTGAAGAATTAATCAACAAAATTTAGTAAGTAGAACCATCAGACAGAGAAGATTCTATATTGTCTCATTTAAAAGACAAGGTTATTGGCTCGTGATTTATGTTGTCCTCACCATTAATCATTGTCAGCCATGTGAAGGCTATGATTATTCCTCGAGTTTCGAGAAGGCTGGCAGTCTGTTATGGAAACACCCTCACTCGAGCTCTTGATATAAAGGTCTAGTTCGCAAAGAAGTGGAGTAGTGTTAGGGGACTCAATTTCATGGTGATCAGAGGAAGTTTATATGGTATTTGTCTCCTCAGGATTTTTGACCCAATTTATACCACCGGTTTGAAATCAGTGTCTGCCTACTTTGCACCCTTCATATCTACCAAACCCAATCCAACAGTACTTTTTACGTGAGGATAATACTACGCGAAAGCAATGAGCAGAACTTCTCTGAAACAGGCTATAAACGTATGATCGTATGAAAGGGTTTTGAAAAGGAGAGTGGACGCTCAGCTGAAACTACGGTTCTGGGAGTGAGCGACCATAAAAATTTGGCCACAATCTATTTTGTGAGCACAGACATTGTTCTATGGTCTAGATTTCAGTGGCTGTGTGGTGATCGAATAATCAGATAGGGATAACCAATTTATTGTTTAATGCACAATCACAAATTGGTTTAGTAAAATGTGAAACTCGTACATCAAATACATCGCTTGCATATCTTTGAATTGTCGCTTGCAAGCTTCATTATTTCTTCACTTCTATTTTTATCTTTATTGCTTTCAGTTCCCTTCCCTCTTTTATTCACTTAAATGTCCTCAACCTTCTGCTGGCAGACATTCCACTTCCCACTAGTGTTACACACTGCTTATATCTGCATAAGTAGTATACTCCACAGTTATAGTGGGACTAAAACCTGTGACCCAGTTGTTGAAAGTCATATGATTAAAGGAATAAGTTAAAACTCCAACAACATGCATGCGACCGTTCAAGTTCCTACACAACATTAGGACAGCGAGATAAAGTTATAATGACAAATTCACAGGATAGCAGAATTAGTAACAGTATCAGTAATGGCAGGAAATATTAGATGTGGGAAAAAGGGAACTTTGAAATTCAGAGACTAACGGATTTTGTGCTGTATCGCACAACCTATAACCATTGATTATGACAAACCTGTGGACTTCAACAAGATAATCTGCGCCTGTATGGATGGTTCAGTCTAATATCTAACGACGCTCTGGACTAATGCTACGTTTCAGTTTGGCCAACCCCTAAATTTCTTTAAACCTACTCCTACATTGGACAACATCGCTTATCGATATGAGCCATAACTGCGAATACGTAATACATGTATTATATATTTATTTGAATACATAAATATTGGTACAAGAGAGCGCCAATATGTATGCGCCACACAGAACAATGAGAATTTGAAGAGAAAGAAGAAGAAAAGATAAGGAGCGTGAAAAAAAGGAACAATAACGAAGAGGTTGGTGTAAGGTAGTGTAGTAATAATCATAGTAATAATGAGGCAACGGAAAGGTACAATCAGAAGAAATCTTTCAGTTAAGGAAGATACAACCACTTTTTATGAAGAAAGTAAAAGGTTACAGCATGATCGCCACTGGCTTCTATTCGGAGCCATATCGGATAACGTCTCTAGCCACTGTGTAGCACAATCTCTCGGACCCCAACCAGGGAGTCGTGAAAAACCGACACAAGCCAGTCCTTTGCAGCTTTCTTTCATACCACGACACCATGTCATACACTGACCACCTCTCCGCTTCTTCCAACCAGTCCCAGAGTCGGCAAATGATGCACGACGTGGAATTCTCTGGGACGACATTCGTAGAACATGTCCAAGCCACCGAAGTCGGTGTTTCAAGATGGTGACACCAATTGCATTATCGTCTCTGTACCCGAACACACGATGCCGAACCTCTGCATTACTGACATGGTGTTGCCACTGGATGTCAGCAATCCTTCGGAGACAACGATGATCGAACACAGAGAGTCGTCTAACGTCCTCAACTCGGAGAGGCCAGGTTTCACAAGCATAGAGCAAGACTGCTCTCACAGACGCGTTGTAGATCCGACCTTTTACAGCCAGACTAACACCACGAAGGCGCCAAAGGTGGCCCAGATTGGCATAAGCCGCTCTGGCTCTCACTATACGGGCATCGATCTCATCACTCACACCCCCACCAGCACTTATGCAGCTACCCAGATACACGAACTTCTCGACTACTTCTATCTGCTCACCATCCAGGGTGAGTACAGGATTGGAATCCTGCCAGTCTTGTAGAAGTACTTTGCACTTCGAAGATGCAAAGCACATACCATACCTACGGACACTGATTGCCAACTGATTAAGTGCGGATTGCATGCCTTGGGCATTATCCCACAGTAAGACAATATCGTCCGCATACTCAAGGTCGAGAAGTCTTTCTCCAGGCAACAGATCCACACCACCATTACTTACATCCATCAGAGCTGTTTCCAGAATGTTATCGATGGCAAAGTTGAAGAGAAATGGTGAGATTGGGCATCCCTGCCTAACCCCACTACTCGAATGGAACAATGGAGAGAGGTGGTTGTATGCCCTCACTCTGCCTGAGGTGTTTCTATATAGGGCTTTTAGGATGTTAATAAACTTCTCAGGCACACCCTTCTTCAATCGACAATCTCAGAGAACAGTCCTATCCAACGAATCGAAGGCAGCCCTGATGTCAAGAAACACTACGATCGTTGGCCTTTGATAAGAATGGCGATGTTCTAACATTTGGCGGAGGGTGAAGATATGATCAATACACCCTCGACTAGAACGAAAACCAGCCTGCTCCTCGCGAGTCAATCTTTCTCGGGTTTTGAACAGCCTACGAAGTATGACGGAAGCCAATAGCTTGGACGCAGTCGGAAGTAGACTTATCCCCCGATAGATGTTACAGGAACGACGTGAACCCTTTGTAAAGATAGGGACAACTATCGACTCATTCCATGACGTTGGTACACTCTCTAGCTCCCAAACCTTTGTAAACAACGTCGTCAATTCCTTAGTCAGAGAGTCACCACCATCTTTAGAAAGAGCCGGAGGTAAGTCATCTGGGCCAGGTGATTTGTAACGCCTCAAGAGTTGGAGTTCCTTGCGGACTTCCGCCTCATTTGGTGGATCAATTGTCACCGGCCATGGAGGGCAGGACAGTTTGACCGATGTTACCGGAGCAGCAGGCCAGTTGAACTGCCCTTCGAAAAATTCTGCCCATCGTCCAAGACGTCGATGGATGTTAGTGATTGGCATCCCGTCATCCTCACAGATTGTTTCGCTCACACCAGACTTCTTTCTGCCAGTGGCTCGGATGAGTTGGAAGAGCTTCCGGTAATTTCCAGATGCAGCTGCTGCTTCCAGCTCATTAGCACGCACCGACCACCAGGCTTCTCGGTCCTTACGCAAGCTTTCCCCACTTTCCATACGTAACATCCTTCGTTTGTGGCCAAACTCACGGTCACCCGGAGTAGACCGACGGGCTTCGATGAGTAATACATGTCCTAACTACTCCCCAGCTAATGAAGATTGACGGCCTGATTATTCAAATTGTCATCATTACTTAGTACCCGATGTCCCAAAATACACAAGGAGTGATTCAAACGTATCCAAGATTGAACACTATGAACCTATGAGTACCCTTTATTTTTAATGTTATGCTTCACATCAATAAAGTAGAACAGATCGAATTGCTGAGCAGCAAGCTCATCCTTTGGTTGGTAGACGGGTATCTCACCTACGCCACAAGTGACACCAGTTGACAAAAACCAGTCACACTTTCTGAACCCACACCGAGATTTCTTCAGACACCAACTTACCAGAGCTTTTGAGACATCCTAGATAAATGAAATAGTCGGCAGGCTCAACTAATTCGCTCCCCATCATTGATCAAGGCGTTGACATAAACCAGTTCTGAAACAACGTTTTGCATTTGTACAGAGAACACATCCCCAACATGCTTACTTCGTTTCTTAAGGAGATCAGAAGGCTGTTTTTCAGCGTCCCTACCAAACAGATATAACATTTGCGTTTTCTAGATCAACAACTGAGTCCCCCAGTGGAAGACCAACCCCTGAAAAGTCAGACGGTGAGAGCATTATCTCCAAAATGACGTCTATAACAAAGTTGAGTAGAAGTGGAGAAAAGTAAATAACACTGACGATCACCACTCGAGGTTGACAATGCTAATGACAGTCAAGAAGCTCTGATTCGACCAGTATTGTTTGGGTGGGAAGTCTGTACAAGGTTGGTCTATCTCTTTAGTAAATCTTTTAACAACAGACTGCCATAGAACCTCTCAGTCAATGGAAATGAACGCCGACTTAAGGTTAAAGTATACAACTATAGTCGGGGCTTTATTTTATTTATTTGAACACATAAGTATTGGTAGAAAGGGGCACCGAATACATATGCGCCACACAAGTCATTTGATTTGTGGGTTGGTAAGTATGTTTGTATTTTATTTATTTATTTTAACACAGATAATGGTACAAGGAGGCACCAAATACATATGCGCCACACAAATCTCATTCGATATGTGTGAGAGGTGTGATACTGCCCAGATGCCCAAACCAAAGCACGTGGTTTCCTTAGGGGGCCACTCCCTGAGCTTTCGACCTGAAGGTCTGATCGACAAGGCAGTGGAGCATCGTAAGGAGATGCAGTCCCATGGTAGCCGGTGACCAACAATTGGTTCATACGCCATTTGTTTCCTTAGGATACTGGAGTCCATGTGCACCATTGGTTTGGAATCAGGGTTTTCCAACTCCCCTAGGTGGACTCACCGTGTCCACCGCCCCGATTAAAGCGCCGAACATTCGCTTTTCGTTCTCTCATTTTCGTAAACAACACCCGTGGTGTCAGAAGGCAGTGAGTAGGACTTCCCTGGCAGAGGCTATATACGCGTGGCCATGTAAGAGCATTTCGAGAGGGGGAGCGGACTCTCCCCACTCTCGGCCGTACCAGGGCTTTTGGGGGCATGTTTGTATATTGAATATTTGGTTGGAAGTCAGTTGAACTATTCCCTAAAATGTTTCATCCATCGATCGAATCTCCTGGACCGAGAATAAATAACAGTCCTCCATTTTCCGAGATCGTATCAATAACAGAGGGATTTTAATATCCATTTCCTTGATGAGCCTAATTATTCATCCACGGTTACCTACTGATGTTGCCTTTTCCATTTCTTGGTTTTGCTGGCCACCACTGCTCACGATCATTGTGCGGGCTTTTGTTAGCCTATTTTTAATTTTCCTTCACTCTATAGTGTTCAGAGCCCGATGGGATGAGTTTCAGAGCATCTATCGATGCTACAAAAACCCAGTGATATTACTTAACCTTTTGGTTTAGGTTACTGATAAATCGCACTGCTGTTTTCATTGCTATTTGTATATCACGCTAAGCTACCCCACGGTGGACATCACTTTCATGATTAATTAACTACTTCTCTAGTTGTTCCTGAAATATATTTTTGACTTTTTCATCGTTAAGATGTGGCTTTCCTACATCCAGTAAGACCCAGGCACCAAAGAATGGTCAAAGTCTAAACATATGTTCTAGAATAAGCGGCATTCTTTTATTGAGACTCTCCCACGATGACTGATGGCAATATGGTCTATTTATATATATCGTTAAGCCGATTTCAGGGGACACTATGTTGGACAATATCATTCTTTATGTTTAAAGTTTGTGTTTGCTATAGATAGATGGATGGAAATCCATACATAGGAAGTACAGTTCAAAAAGAACAATTGCAATCGATGGATGGAAAATCGGAAGTGACACTTATTCTAAAATTTAAAGGAAGATAAAAAACAGTGTTTATGAGTCACTGAGACTAATTTTGCGCCATGTCATCCATCTTCGACCGTCAAGAGCTTCGGTTGGAAAAAGTAATCCATAGAACTAAGCAATTTGAGTAATTGGGTTCATCAATAACCGTATATGATGGGTGAAGGGTGAAAATGTCAGAACACTGATGCTGCCTCTTAAAAATATTTCTAGCTGGGAAAACGACTATTATAGAAAAAGCAAATCTAACACCCACACAATAAAATTAAGATGACAGTAACTGATGCCTCTGGAAAAGTGAGAAATATTCATAGCTCAAGTAAAAGGGTTTTCCAACAGCATTTGCAGAAGGTCAGGGTCTTTTGAATGTTAGGTATGGAGTTAATAAATTACAGACAGCGCTCGCTGTACGGTTGGATTTATTTGAGAAGTACTGAGAAATTAACTATTTCTCGGAGAAAAAAATCTACATTTTAAAACCAATGGCATTTTTTAATCATCTTTAATAACATCACTGGTATTCGTCACTATTTTAACTGGTACCGATTATGGATAAGTAGGCATATAGTTATTGTTGGTGAAGTTCTTTTCAAAAAAATTCAATGCACGCAGAAACAAAAGTGTATGTTTTACGGTCTACGCTATTATATTTCCCCTCTGTGGTAAACGATGTGGAATCCACCATTCCACAATCCATATAACGTTACAGTGACACCGCCTCCATATATAATCACACATAAACATTGTAATCTGCTAATCTTAACTGTGTGTTTACTTGATTCATGACTATCAATGTGAATTCCCTGTCATAAATGCTGTACTTGGAATTGATGTATTCTGGTTAGAAATTACATTTCTTTGAAGTGACATACGCTTGTATTACTCATCGTAAACTCAACCACAAAAGTTCTGTTAGTTTATCTATCATATCTGTACAACTAAGAAACCTGTTAATATTGTTGGTCGACTTATATCAACCGGATCATGACCGTATACTGGTGTGAACTGTAGTCGATTTCACAAAGCTTTTGAGCTTATAATTGCAATATTTGTAATACAGAATTAATATTCACAAATTAAGGGTGGTCAAATGACAAAAATATTTCAGGAAGGAATAAACGTTTATGTTTGTACACAAAAATGAGTATTATTAATAACATTACCATATATCTCTGATTTTTATAAACTTACATGTGAAGTTTTGACTGAAAATTTATCCGTCCAATCACAATTTATATTATGCGTTATCAATTTGTTATCTTCTTGTGATTTAGACACTTCAGGTCTTAATGAAATAGAATTAGATTGGAATAAGTATGAAATAGTCCAACATACACTTCAATTTTCGAAATATCTTCGGTTATAACTAATGATTTTTCAGATTCCTGATCAGTTTGTTTTTCATTATCATCATTTGGATTTCTAGTGTGAAAGAAAATACTAAGTAAAAAAATAACTTACATCTCCATAGATGCAAGAGAGTCCACATAGAACAACATGGAGTTCTAAAATGCGTAAAAAAAGACAGGATAAAACCATATATTCATTATTTAACAATTGTAGAAATAGACAAATTGAAAAGTGGTTGAATTACACAACAAAGATAAATCATTCTCATTAGAAACAGAAAACGATTTACTTAACCTAATACCAGATAACCACATAATTCAAATTCTAATAAGAAACTATTTTTACTAAAAGTATCCCTCAGACCAACATAGAAATTGCAAAAGCTGGAAGTATACTAGTTTCAGTTATCAAACTTTTATTTAAACACATAAATATTGGTACAAGGGAACACCAAAATACATATGCGACACACAGTAAAAATAAAATTGTGAAGAGATAGAGGAAGGTATGCATAATAAGAATTATTTATTTATTTATTTGAACACATATATATTGGTACAGGATTGCGCCAATATACATGCACCACACAAAACAATGAGAATTTGAAGAGAAAGAAGAAGAAAAGATAAGGAGCGTGAAAAAAAGGAACAATAACGAAGAGGTTGGTGTAAGGTAGTGTAGTAATAATCATAGTAATAATGAGGCAACGGAAAGGTACAATCAGAAGAAATCTTTCAGTTAAGGAAGATACAACCACTTTTTATGAAGAAAGTAAAAGGTTACAGCATGATCGCCACTGGCTTCTATTCGGAGCCATATCGGATAACGTCTCTAGCCACTGTGTAGCACAATCTCTCGGACCCCAACCAGGGAGTCGTGAAAAACCGACACAAGCCAGTCCTTTGCAGCTTTCTTTCATACCACGACACCATGTCATACACTGACCACCTCTCCGCTTCTTCCAACCAGTCCCAGAGTCGGCAAATGATGCACGACGTGGAATTCTCTGGGACGACATTCGTAGAACATGTCCAAGCCACCGAAGTCGGTGTTTCAAGATGGTGACACCAATTGCATTATCGTCTCTGTACCCGAACACACGATGCCGATTTTTTATTTATTTATTTATTTGGACACATGAATATTGGTACAAGAGAGCGCCAATATATATGCGCCACACAGAAAAATGAATATTCGAAGAGGAATACAAAGAAAGAAAAAAAAGAAGCTAAGTAGCACACAAAAAAGAGAGAACAATAACGAAGAGATTGGTGTAAGGTAATGTGTTAGTAATCAGGGAACGCAAAGGTACAATCGGAAGAAATCGTTCAGGTAAGGGAGACACAACCACTTTTTATGAAGAAAGTAAAAGGTTACAGCATGATCGCCACTGGCTTCTATTCGGAGCCATATCTGATAACGTCTCTAGCCACTGTGTAGCACAATCTCTCGGACCCCAACCAGGGAGTCGTGAAAAACCGACACAAGCCAGTCCTTTGCAGCTTTCTTTCATACCACGACACCATGTCATACACTGACCACCTCTCCGCTTCTTCCAACCAGTCCCAGAGTCGGCAAATGATGCACGACGTGGAATTCTCTGGGACGACATTCGTAGAACATGTCCAAGCCACCGAAGTCGGTGTTTCAAGATGGTGACACCAATTGCATTATCGTCTCTGTACCCGAACACACGATGCCGAACCTCTGCATTACTGACATGGTGTTGCCACTGGATGTCAGCAATCCTTCGGAGACAACGATGATCGAACACAGAGAGTCGTCTAACGTCCTCAACTCGGAGAGGCCAGGTTTCACAAGCATAGAGCAAGACTGCTCTCACAGACGCGTTGTAGATCCGACCTTTTACAGCCAGACTAACACCACGAAGGCGCCAAAGGTGGCCCAGATTGGCATAAGCCGCTCTGGCTCTCACTATACGGGCATCGATCTCATCACTCACACCCCCACCAGCACTTATGCAGCTACCCAGATACACGAACTTCTCGACTACTTCTATCTGCTCACCATCCAGGGTGAGTACAGGATTGGAATCCTGCCAGTCTTGTAGAAGTACTTTGCACTTCGAAGATGCAAAGCACATACCATACCTACGGACACTGATTGCCAACTGATTAAGTGCGGATTGCATGCCTTGGGCATTATCCCACAGTAAGACAATATCGTCCGCATACTCAAGGTCGAGAAGTCTTTCTCCAGGCAACAGATCCACACCACCATTACTTACATCCATCAGAGCTGTTTCCAGAATGTTATCGATGGCAAAGTTGAAGAGAAATGGTGAGATTGGGCATCCCTGCCTAACCCCACTACTCGAATGGAACAATGGAGAGAGGTGGTTGTATGCCCTCACTCTGCCTGAGGTGTTTCTATATAGGGCTTTTAGGATGTTAATAAACTTCTCAGGCACACCCTTCTTCAATCGACAATCTCAGAGAACAGTCCTATCCAACGAATCGAAGGCAGCCCTGATGTCAAGAAACACTACGATCGTTGGCCTTTGATAAGAATGGCGATGTTCTAACATTTGGCGGAGGGTGAAGATATGATCAATACACCCTCGACTAGAACGAAAACCAGCCTGCTCCTCGCGAGTCAATCTTTCTCGGGTTTTGAACAGCCTACGAAGTATGACGGAAGCCAATAGCTTGGACGCAGTCGGAAGTAGACTTATCCCCCGATAGATGTTACAGGAACGACGTGAACCCTTTGTAAAGATAGGGACAACTATCGACTCATTCCATGACGTTGGTACACTCTCTAGCTCCCAAACCTTTGTAAACAACGTCGTCAATTCCTTAGTCAGAGAGTCACCACCATCTTTAGAAAGAGCCGGAGGTAAGTCATCTGGGCCAGGTGATTTGTAACGCCTCAAGAGTTGGAGTTCCTTGCGGACTTCCGCCTCATTTGGTGGATCAATTGTCACCGGCCATGGAGGGCAGGACAGTCTGACCGGTGTTGCCGGAGCAGCAGGCCAGTTGAACTGCCCTTCGAAAAATTCTGCCCATCGTCCAAGATGTCGATGGATGTTGGTGATTGGCATCACATCATCCTCACAGATTGTTTCGCTCACACCAGACTTCTTTCTGCCAGTGGCTCGGATGAGTTGGAAGAGCTTCCGGTAGTTACCAGATGCAGCTGCTGCTTCCAGCTCATTAGCACGCACCGACCACCAGGCTTCTCAGTCCTTACGCAAGCTTTGCCCAATTTCCTCACGTAACATCCTTCGTTTATGGTCAAACTCACGGTCACCCGGAGTAGAGCGACGGGCTTCAATGAGTTGTAAGGAACCAGAAGAAACCCAGTTCTTAAAAGCGGGACGTTTCGCAAACCCACAACTGACTGTACCCGCCATTTTCATGGCGTCATGCAATTGCAACCAATGCTCATCTATACTTTTCGGTGGAGTAGTAGCTAGCCTAGAAGCTAGCTCGGTTCGATACTTACTAGCAACAGAAGTTGCAACCAGCTTGCTAACATCAATCTTTTGGTGGTGGTCACTTCGTTGGCCACTGAAAAGTAAGGTAAGATTGGCGCAGACCAAGGCATGGTCAGAGTCCAGATAGGTACTCCAAAAGGAGTGGCAGTCTTGTACACAACCACGCCAGCGGTAGCTGATCGCGATGTGATCAATCTGAGTCCAGGCTTGAGATGCAGAGGGAGGACGCCAGGTGGCACATCGGCGATGACTGTGCCGAAAGTTAGTGCTAGCCAGAAACAGGTTGTGGTCTGTGCACAGTGGCAGTAGACGGTCCCCGTTATCTGACCTGCGACCAACAAGTCCCCATCGGCCACCTAAACGACTCTCTTCCGTGCCTAGACGCCCGACCTGTGCATTCAAGTCTCCGGCTAGTACTACAATATCTGTCGAACGCACTTTCTGGAGAAGAACAGTTAACTGGTGGTAAAACTCATCCTTGATTGCATCCGGGCTGCAATCTGTCGGGGCATAGGCGGAGATGACGAAAAGACATCGTTTCTCACGCCGATTTCTCCTCACTTTGATGGAACTTTCTAATCTAACAGCACATAACCGACTGTTAATGGGGATCCAATCGACTAGTGCTGCCTCAGCTCTAGCGCTTAGTGCGACACCAACGCCAGCAAGACCAGACGAAGATGCCACAGGGTCCCCGGATAAGCGCACGTAAAACAAGCTTTTTGAAGTGACAGATGGAGAGCGAATTTGTAGTACTTCACCAGAGTCTTGAATACGGGTCTCGGATAGACAGCAGACATCAATATTAAGACTTTCCAAAGACATAGCCAGCCCTATCTGTTGTCCGACCTGCATAAGTGTGCGAACGTTGAAGGCAGCCAGTTTGAATGGCGCACGTGGTTTCAGAAAAACTGCTTCAGTACTCATATTCGATGGTAACATACAATTTTCGACCGGACAGTGACTCGAGAACGTTTAGATACAGTCGGATTTCCACCAAAGACGAGCCGCTGTATAAGTATAAAAGAGGGTGAATAATGTGGAAAATAATAATAATAATAATAATGACAATAATAGTAATAATAATAGTATTAATAATGACAATAATAGTAATGATAATTATTTGAATCGATTGATTGTTTTTCGGAGCGAGAAAAGTAGTTGCCATAGACATAGAGTTCATCGTTTGTGTGAGGGCTGTGATACTGCCCGGGTGCCCAAACCGAAGCAGGTGGTTATCTTAGGGGGCCACTCCCCGAGCCTTTGACCTAAAGGTCTAACCCACAAGGCAGTGGAGCATCGTAAGGAGATGCAATCCCATGGTAGCCGGTGAACAAAGATTGGTTCATACGCCATTTGTTCCCGCAGGATACTGGAGCCCATGTGCACCATTGATTTGGAATCCGGTTAAAGCGCCGGACATTCGCTTTTCGTTCTCTCATTTCCGTAAACAAGACCCCCGCCACGAGAAGGCAATGAGTAGGACTTCCCTGGCAGAGGCTGTATACGCGCGGCCGTGTGAGAGTATTTCGAGAGGGAGAGCGGACTCACCCCACTCTCGGCCGTACCAGGGCATTCGGGGGCCACGATGCCGAACCTCTGCATTACTAACATGATGTTGCCACTGGATGTCAGCAATCCTTCGGAGACAACGATGATCGAACACAGAGAGTTGTCTAACGTCCTCAACTCGGAGAGGCCAGGTTTTACAAGTCCAGAGCAAAACTGCTCTTATCGACGCGTTGTAGATCCGACCTTTTATAGCCAGACTAACATCACGAAGGCGCCGAAAACTGCCCAGATCAGTATAGGCCACCTTAGCTTTCACTGTACGTGAATTGATTTCGTCGCTCGCGCCGCCACCAGCACTTGCACAGCTATCTAGATACATGAAAATCCTTGACTACTCCTAACTGGTTTCTACCAGGAGTGAGTACAGGTTAGGATTCCTGTCTCTCATCAAGGGGGTCCAGGTTCTACTCCTAGAGCAGAAGCCAGCCCCCAAATACCCTGGTACGGCATGTACACGTATAAAGCCGCTGTCAGGGAAGTTTTAATCATTGCCTTCTCGCCGTGGAGGTGTTGTTTACGAAATCGAGAGGACGAAAAGCGGATACCCGACGCTTAAACCTGGTTGGTGGGTTCGGATGATCCACCTAGGGGATTTGGAAAACCCTGACTCCGAACCATAGTGCGTATGGGCTCCAAGATCCTGAGGGGAGAAATGAATTATTAACCTATTCTTGGTCACCAGCTACCATGGGACCACATCCCCTAACGTTGCCCCACTTGTTTGTGGACTAGACCTACAGGTTAAAGGCTTCGGGAGAGGTCCTTTAAGAAAACCGCCTGCTTCGGTTTGAGCATCCAAGTAGTACCCTAGCCCACAAAAATCAAATGATAATCAGAACTGTCAAGCTTACTAAACATCACATGCTGAGTCGACAAAATGGAATGTTAATAACACCGGGAAAATACAACACTAGAAAATAACGGCCCAAAAAATGAGCTGTATAGTCGTTAACCTAGGGTAGTTATGAATCACCATTTTAAACACTTGTTTACCTGATTTGTAGTTGCAAACAGGAAACATTCACTTACTCTCTTTATGTGGAGGTTTCCCACAAAAGGGAGAGAGATTGTAGACTAAACTATTCAACTAGATAATTAAGTACCATCAATTTTCCTTGAACTGTCAAATCCCGACTTTTTAACTGGACAACAGCATCCAAAAGCAACCTTCTTTGACTACTAAATATAGGTCAGTCATAAGTAGAATATGGCGCATATGTGCATCGATCTAAACTGTCACACCATTTCAACGCAGAGATGAAATTATCAAGGCAAATGCTATAGGAGAAACAGTAACAGCTTCAGCGGTAGTGGAAAAGACTAGACATAAACACTGTGATTCTATGACAAAAATGAGACTTGATACCTAAGGGAAATGACTGTTTCTGGGACATTGTGCCGATTCTCGATCATGTCCTATTGTATTTTCAACCACTGGTTACGATAATTGCGATTTCACAATCTAGTGCCTAAATACATAGCTCAACACAAAACCATTAAATATTACGAGGGAGAAACTCCCGAAACTTTTAAACCAAAGGTTTGGATGCTTTGTGAATTTAATATTTCAGCAGCGTCAAAGTCCATAAAACAATTACGATAACATGAAAGACCAGGGTTAAGAAGCAATCACGTGGCTTTTTGAGATCTAACACTAACTAAAATGCAATTCATTCATTAAATCTTCCAATAAATTTACGTAGTTTTTTGCCCTTCCATTTTTGCCAACTTCATTTTGTAGTTGACCATTGAGTTTCCGTTCAATTATATCGTTTAGAGTTACTAAACGGATACTTTCCAGAAACATTCATGTAATTTTAAACCTCATTCAGCTATTCTAGTAACGTGTATGGGACTTGGACTTGTTCCATTCAGATTTTGCATTTTAATATAGATCAAACAAAGAAAAGCTTTATCTGGGTTTCTGAAAACTTTATACACTCGTATTCAACATCCCGGTGACAAACTACAAAAAGTTGATTATTGACTCAAAGTATTTACCTTGTGCCCACATAGGGAGTGTGACATAGATAATCTGCTTCAATCGTGTGAACATAGCACTCCTTAAAGGAGTTTCTAATAACGGTCGTTTGTACTGTTGAACTGAAATACTCATGTAGAGTAAGAATTTGGAGAGAGAAAAATAATGTTTACATCTGCCTACGGTCCCACGTATTGCAAATTAGTCGTAGTGGAATATCATTTCTATTAACTTGGTAATCTCAACCAGATATGTTTCCAGGATAATGTAGCATAAGTGGGTGACGGCTAGGTGTCTGAACACGGAGGAACACTATCTAGATGACTGATTTGAACTTCGCACTTTAATGTCAGATTACAAAGACTGGAACATGCCCGTGTTGTAATATACAAAACTAAACGGAGCACACTTGGATCAGTATGATATTACTTACTTAGAATGGTAAAAAGTTTTTTAAGAAGATTGCTTTGCGATAACATAAATTTACTTTAACATGCAACTGTGAAATACGTAAAACAAAGCTTACTAAGGTTTCTTCGTTATTTTTGTTCCTTTGTAGACACCATTATAAACACACACAAAGCAGCCAGGTGGGGTACATATTACGACTTACAATCAATATTATCCAACGAATTTATGTTGACAATATCATGAAAAGTTCTGGCAGGTATCTTACGTTACTCTGCATGAACGTTAATGGGGAACTCGTCCACTTTTTCAATAACGGAATCTAGAATAGTTAGTATTCTGCCTTGAATATGAGCTTGACAGACTATTCTTATCAGAAGTTGTAAGTGTAACCTCCTTGAACAGTTTATCCAGATTACCAGACTTCAGCCTGGTTCACTAAAAACTGTCTGAAGTACTACTGAATTTTGTTGCAAAGGTTAAGTACTTGACCCATCATCCCAAAATGATGAGAACTTTAGTGTTTTTCAAAAATCAGAATCCGAGGAATAATCATCCCGTTAATTCTACTGAAAAAAACCTAAAGCTTTCCAAAACTACTGATGAAATACAAACAAGCTTAAATCTAAGAAAACTCCTGCTTCGGTTTGGGTACCCGGGCAGTATCCCAGCTTTCACACAAATCGAATGATTTATGTGGCGCATATCTATTTGGTGCCTCCTTGTACCAATGTTTGTGTTTAAATAAATAATAAACTAAGAACAACTAAGAAAGCTAGTCAAGACACTAGCAGGTTGCTTATTCATTTATGAGAAAGAGTTAAAAGAGAGTTCTCACCTCACCATTGGCTGCTATTAAACTTCCAATCCAACTAAGTACACTACTTGATTCCGAATTGTCAACGCTCTGTGAGTTGGGCACAGAATTAAGTGTTCGTGGTCTATTGGAACTACCGTTATCCCTGAATAGTTGGCATAATAACATCGACACTTACTGATCTTTAAATCCTTCCCCAAGAACTTCCGGAGTATCACCAGAAGTTAGATTTTCGTCTGAACCAACTGGTTCAGTTAGATTGCTAAATATTAATAAATATGAGGACTACATTTTCATCGTTTACTTCACTAGGTCTACAACACCTTTGAGATATCCTTTTAACATGTTCTGATGTATTTTCGCTAGTTTTTCAGTACTAAATAAACTCAACCAATACACTAACGATGTTAGACAGAGAGCTCCTTTGAACAGTAAAGTATTAGTGCGCGTTTCAAAAAAGCGCGAATTTACTACTTATTATGCATTAACTTTGCTCTTGTGCATTTATTAGATCAAATGTGAAATTAGACTACTTTAAACTTGAATTATTTCGGTTGACGTTCAGAATTTTCTCCAGGCCCGTCTTGTAGTACTCTGTTTTTTAGTTGGTTCTGACACTAGCGATTAGATTGTACATTTTTGTCGAATTTTTGTGCTTTCAATATATTCACAATGGTCAACAGCATGTAGTGACCCACTTTTATCAAGAGAGCGAGATTGGTGTAATGGAAACAATTATTATTATAACCAATTGTACCAGGGACTGTTTTCACCGTACCTGCTTGTTTAACTGTACCAAAACATACTTTCTCCCATTGAATGTGACCTTGCATGAATTCGGTTAAGCTCAGTAACAACACTTGTAACCTAGCATGATCTCGGTATTCTTTCGATTCCACTAGACCGCCAACAAATAGATCTCGACTACAGCCATCAACTGCCTTCTGATATTTGGCTTATGGGGGATCTTATCGGTTAACTGGCACGTAGTCTTCCTGCAGTGGTGATCATTGTCAATCACGACCGACCGGACGCCACACTACAAGTACTTATAAATGGAGACAGTGAAACTGTTTTACCCCCTAGATGACGGAACGCAATGTGATGGGTGCAAAATCGGTTCCATATGAGGTGTACTCGCATAAGTCCCAATGCACATAAAACATGTTCAAAGTCTTGTAGCGGTAAATAAATCCCCAAAATAAATAGCTCTAAGTTTTCGACATTGGATGCTGACCATATGTTTTAGTGGACTCATCTAGCTGAAGGCGCTCGGTCATACATCCACACCAGATCACGTGTGGTAACGCCGTGCTCAACATCAACCGCAATCGCTAGCCAGATTATATCAGAGAATTCCGATATACTGGTAATCGCCAAATACACTCTTCCGATCTCCTCGACTCTGTCTTTTGATTTCTCTGGGTGGGAACGAAATATATTAGGTGTTACTGGTATAAGCGTTGTCAAACACTGAATACCTGTGACATCATCATCGGTGAGCCCGACGTGATCTGGTACACCTAATTACAACTGTGAGTCTGTTCCTTTTTGGGATTTTTATATATCATTGCTTTATTTTTTATTTTTTGAACATTGTGATTTTTCTGGTGTTTTTTCTTGAATATATACATATTTTCCCCTCGTTCATTATCGTACTTCATATTTCATCATGACTGAACAGACACCCAAAGTACTCAAGCTTAAGACCTTGTCCCCGCCTTCGTTTCAACTGATGCCTTTCTGGCCCGACAACATCGAAGCCTGGTTTTGCTACGCAGAAGCCGACTTCTCCGAGCACGGCGTGATCGACACACGTGCACAATTCCTCTCAGTAGTAAAGGCACTACAGCGCGAATTCAACAGGTACGTAACACCTGGTATGTTTACTAGTGATGTTTCCGATCCTTACGAAATCTTAAAACGCTCGATTCTTAAACGAGGAGACCTAACCGATCGACAAAGGTTAGATCAACTCTTCAATAACATCGACCTGCAACACGGTTCTGCGACGGACATGTTGCAACGGATGAGAGAGGTAATAGGCCCAAGAACTTTCGACGAAGGTCTATTCAAACAACTTTTCTTGTCCAAACTTCCAAAACAGGTGCAAGCAGTTCTGGTCTCGTTTCAGAACAACGCCTTAGACGAACTAGCTGCATCTGCCGACTGCACTTTAGAAATTACGAAACCTACTACCGAGGTATTTTCAGTCAAAGAAAAACCTCAAACGACTCAGAATGATATAACCTAGTTATGTCATACACTCACGCGTTATCTTAATCTTCGTACCGACCGTAAGAGATCGCACACTCCACGTAGAAGCATTTCACGTAAGCGATCTGTCTCTAGACCACGAGAGACAGATAACCCCGACTGGTGCTGGTATCATAACCAGTATGGAAAGTTTTCCAGAAATTGCAGAAAACCCTGCAACTTTCCCAACACGAAACCGACTGACTCGAAAAACAACTCGGGAAACTTCCAAGCCGGCACGCGTTAACGGCAACCGTAGCCGGCGAACATAGCCGTCTGTTATTCGTCACAAATGTGACAACAAGAGTTCGCTACCTCGTCGACACTGGCGCAGAAGTTAGCGTTCTCCCAGCAAATCCTAACGACCGACTTCACGAATCGACTTTAAACTTACAGGCGGCAAACGGAAAACCGATCGCTACGTATGGCAAAAGGTACGTTTACCTGAACATGGGTTTACGCAAACCCATTCACTGGATCTTCGTTGTTGCAGATGTTTCTATGCCAATCACTGGTATGGACCTTCTACAACACCATAATCAGATCATCGATACGCGCAAACGGAGGCTAGTAGACGGAAACACTAATTTGTCCGTTTGCGTAACTTCCTTCTCTGGTTGCAGATTATCCCCAGCCACAATTAAGCATATGATAGACCCACTTTATCAGCCACTTCTCGATAAGTATCCTGGGATACAACAAACGCAACCGAGGTTACCGTGTGTAACCTGCAACGTTAAACATCACATCACGACTACAGGACCACCTGTATTCTCTAAAGCACGACGACTAGCTCCCGACAAGCTTAGGTTAGCGAAAAACGAGTTCGACCATATGATAGACTTAGGAATCATACGACCGTCAAGTAGCCCATATGCATCTCCGTTGCACATGGTCCCTAAAAAGGACAGCAACGATTGGCGTCCAACTGGTGACTATCGGCGATTGAACGCGAAAACCATTCTCGATCGTTACCCGTTGCCTCACATTCACGATTTGACAGCTACCTTAAAAGGTACAACTGTCTTTTCGAAAATCGACTTGGTTAAAGCGTATAACCAAATCCCTATAGCTATCGACGACATACCGAAAACAGCTATCATTACTCCCTTCGGACTCTATGAGTTTTTGCGAATGCCTTTCAGTCCAAGAAACGCTGCCCAAACATTCCAAAGGTTCATAGACGACGTTTTTCGAGGTCTCAACTTCGTACATCCGTATGTTGATGACTGCCTAATTTCAAGTCCGGACAGAGAAACACATCTCAATCATCTGGATCTTGTTTTCGAATGATTACAAAAACATGGCATTACTGTAAACGTTCAGAAATGCCAAATTGGAACCGACTCATCAGACTTTCTGGGACACACTATCGATGCTCAAGGTATCCGACCCCTTAGAACCAAAGTGGCGACCATTCTGGATTACCCAGAACCGACCACCGTCAAGCAATTACGCACGTTTAACGGCCTCGTAAGTTTCTATAGACGTTTCATACGGAAATGCGCATTACTCATGAAACCGCTGACCGACCAACTTCGTGGAAATGCGAAATCGATTAATTTGGACGACACCGCACGAAAAGCAATCTACACAGTTAAGGAACTGATCGCTAAAGCAACAATGCTCGCACATCAGGACACCGAAGCACCTATTAGTACCGCAGTAGACGCATCCGACTGGACAATTGGAGGAGTCTTACAACAATGGGTTAACAACTCCTGGCAACCCTTGGCATTTTTCTCTAGAAGGTTGTTAGACACCGAATCGAGGTACAACACATTCGGTAGGGAACTCCTAGCTATGTATTGTGCTGTACGGCATTTCCAACACTATATCGAAGGCCGTGAATTCACTCTTTTCACGGACCATAAACCGCTCACATTCTCGTTAAGCTCGCCTTCAGTCAAGTACTCTCCCCGTGAGTCTCGACAACTGGACTACATTTCGCAGTTTACTTCAGATACTCAACACATCTCTGGAGCAAACAATGTAGTTGCCAACGCCTTATCTCGCATAACTTCCTTGAACAGTTTCCAAGGAATCGACCTTCTTAAACTCGCCGAGCTTCAAAAAGAAGACACTGATCTTCAGCATGAGTTATCGTCCACAACCCTTAAACTACGCACCAAACAGATGGGAACAGGTAAGGAAACCTTACTGTGTGACACATCTACAGGTAGGGATCGCCCAATCGTGCCGAAACATTATCGACGCAATGTCTTCAATACATTGCACAAACTTTCTCATCCAGGCGTTCGTGCAACCATCAAGCTTATGACTCGTACAACGCGTATGTGGTAAACTGCTTGATTGCAAGTCTGGACGGAGAATTCTGTCTCCAGCATCTAGACCATGTATTTGAACGACACCCGGCCGGGATTTCTTCAAACATTCGGAAATGTCAAATAGAAACCGACTCTCTAGATTTTCTCGGAAATATCATTGATGCTCAACTCATCCGATCTCTAAAACGTAAAGTCGTGATCATTAAGGACTACCCAGAACCCACGACAATCCAGCAACTACGCACCTTTAACGACCTAGTAAGTTTCTATGGACGGTTCCTGCCGTATTGCGCGTCCCTTATGAGAACTTTAACCTTCCAACTTCGTGGAAATGCGAAATCCATGAATTTGGACAACAACGAGAAAAATGCATTATCTACAGTTAAGTAACGTACCGCCAAAGCAACATTGCTCACACAACAGGACACCAAGGCGCCCATTAGTATCGCAGTAGATGCATCTGACTCGGCAATCGGTGGGTTAACCACACTTGGTGATCCCTGGCATTCCTCTCGAGACGACTGGTAGACACCGAATCGAGGCACAGCGTTTTCGGAAGAGAACTCTAGGTCATGTATTGTGCTGTAATGCACCTTTAACACTCTGTTGGAGGTAAAGAATTCACGCTTTTTATTGATCATGAACCTCTCACCTCTTTGGGCTCATCATCAGATAAGTGCTTTCCTCGGGAGTCTCGACAACTGGACTACATTTCGCAGTTTACTTCAGATATACAACATATTTCTGAGGCAAACAATGAATCTGAAGACACTTTGTCTCGCATAACTCCCCTGAACAATTTTCAAAGAATAGATTTTCTTAAACTCACCCAGCTTCAAAAAGAAGACACTGATCTTCAGCACGAGTTATCGTCAACAACTGCAAAACTGAGTATCAGACAGATGGGAACAGGTGATGAAACCTTATTATGGGAAGTATCTACAGGTAGGGATAGTCCAATCGTGCCGAAACATCGACGCAATGTCTACAATACGTTGCACAGACTTTCGCATACAGGTGTTTGTGTAACCATCAAGCTCATGGCAAAAGGACTTTGCTGGTTTAGTAGGAATGAAAACATGAGAGAGTGGGCACGCTCCTGTGTAAGCTGC